TATAGTTGGGGAAAGTATATTTTAGCATAATCTTGACTAAAACAAACAGATGCCATTCAAGTACACTTGAATATCCATGCCATTCCTCAATCACATGCACATAGCACACTGCTTACTGCATGGCTATTGAGACCACACTGTGCATTCCTCCATCACATACACATGCATTTCCGGTAAATTAAGAGATTTACGGGAAATGTTCCGCCCCTTTGAAACCCTAATCTTACTGCACATTCAAGTTGTATCAAACTTGTGTAGGAGACGCTAGAGATGTACACTTTCAACAAAAGAGACATTGTTTTTTGTGAAGGTTACATCTATTTAGTCATTCTATTGCCATGTTGGCAAGCAGGGTGACTGTTTGAGTTATTCTGTATAAAGTGCACTTATGATCATTCTTTACTACATGAATAATTGAAGAATATTGCCAATATTGATGCTGGTATAGAAATGGCAGGTTCCTTTGTCTTTATTTTGGCAGACACAGATAGCCCCTTAAAGCCAGGAACCAGACACCCCATTCTCCCAGATACAAAACCCAGTTTAGCCTAAAAGTCAGTCTCAGAATATTTAGGAAAATATAGATTTTGATCAACCATGCCGCATTTCATACAATTAAACTATCCATTTTAAATAAAAGTTGGTAAAAGCCCCCCCCCAAAAAAGAGTTTGTCGGCAGCTTCAATACATTTTGAACTCAATGGACTGAGTCTTAACACATCCTTTGAATGATCGATGAGTGTTCCTATTAGCGCTACGGTAGAGGCCGGGGCGTGCACCGCTGGGTTCCTCCTTATTCCTTTTCTGTGAGATGTTTTGCTGCTTTGTTCCCGTGTGAAGAGGGAAGTCACTTTATCCTTTCCCAAGGAAACAACTCGCCACTTCTCAAGAGTCCAGAGTGGCTTTATGGAGTCATGGTGAGGACAAAATACAAAACCACACCAGATGAATATGTCAAACCCTACATCGAGTCATGTCCATGTTAGGTAGGTGATGTGATGATTGAAACAACATGTCACTAGTCCTATAGCAAGTGAAACAACATACACAAGCAGTTGTATATTTAATGATTTACATGTGTTGTGGTCCCATAGATATGCCACACTGCTGCGTGTGTGCAACAAGACGCCCAAAACATTAGGATAGATATGTAATTATGGTTAACCGATATCAATAAGAGTCACAGTGATTAACTTGGCTTCTTCTACAGAAATGTGGTTTTAGAGTTCTGAATTGTTTGACCATTTATGTTGTGATGGAAAATAGAATCAGCGTGATTCTGTTGATAAAATGCAGGAATTTGACTCCAGAGTTGGTAGTGCAAACCCCAAAGCTGTTGTTAGTGCACACCCCGGCCTCTACTGTAAAGATCATGGTTTTGGGTACATTTGTATACATATGTTGTATCTCGTGCTTCAAGTAAATGTGGTTGTTCTCTGTATTAAATTAAAACCTTAGTATTTCTCTGACCAGGTGTAAATGTTTCCTTTAAACAATTGTGTTTTTGCAAATATAAGTTGTATACAAATGCAATGTCTCTGAGACAAGTAACCAAAATACACATGTTAATAACCACACTTCCAATACATCATGACATATCATAATCAGTAACAAAAAGGGCAAAACTGGAGTTCCATTTGTCTTGTTCGTTATGCACAAAACTGCACTTTTTAAGAGGGATTTTACATTTTTTAGAGTGTCTGAATTGCCAGGGGTGGTAAATGCCAGTTTAGTGTGAATAAAAGGCCAAATACAAGAGTAACGGTTCCAGACTCAATGGCATCATTGTAAACACAGAGTGTTGTGTATACGATACTTAAAGCTTGTCCTCATGCACCCTTGGTTGTCCCTCCTTAAAAAAACATTTGGAAAGCCATATGGCCACATGACTAACTTTAGTTGGGCACATATTTTCCTCTACCAAGCTCCCACTCTGAAAGGAATTTGGTTTGAGCCAGTGTCTGTGGATTATTTGAGTTTCCCAAATGGTGAGTGGTGTTTAGAGCTGTGCCCTCCAACACGTAGACTCACAGAAGGAAATGCTGACACACCATACGTCAAGGTTATGACCTAGCTACAGGCATGGTGTGAAAGCCCCACTGGTAGCAGGTACTGTGACTTCCCAGTGCTTCTCAAGCTGTCCTGTTTTTGCTTTTCTGCCCGCTGTTGAAAATCTAAGGCGGTGTCTCGTGAAATGGTATAGCGGCGTAGACATATACTTTGTGGCTTTATGACAGCCAGCCAACCCGAGGCATTTTAACGCCAGGAATTTGGCTCGGAAATTCTTTGCCCAACCTGGCTAACTGACTGCTTCAAAATGACTGACTGGCATTGGAAAGGAAGGAAACATCTTCCTTCCCTCCATTGTGCTGGGCAGGAAAAGATGGACTGCAGCCAGCTGACAGCTGTTTCCTGGTGGATGAAGGAGGAATGGGTGCGTGGGTGGGTGGATGGGCGGGTGGCTGCTGTTGGTGTTGTGCTAGTAGTGCTTGAATGGGCTTTTTTTTCTGCTTGTGACTGTTGGTACAGTTGAACTACACATCTGAAGGAATAGATTAGTTTTATTGCAACATTTTAAAAACTTTTATTGGCTTGACTAGTAAATGACATTTTATATTCCGTTTTTTCCCACCAAAACGTTGCAACACAAGGCCTTATGAAAGGGTTGAATGCATTTTATTCCTCAAAAACATAAACAAAAAAAGATGTTTATGAATAATTGAGATTATTAAAACGTTACATCCCTGTTTGATAGCTTACAGCCTTTTAGCACAATAGTGTGAAAGAAGTAGCAAGACTGTGTTGTCGGTTTGCCACCGTGCCAATATGCACTTATAAAACATTGTTCAGTAGCACTATGGTAACACTACGGTCAATAACTGTACAGGATACCTTTTTAAGTTAGCTTTATTTGATTGACAGTTCAACTTGAACCTGCTTCAACTCAGATGTTGTGTTGCAAAATGACTGTGTGCCAGTTGATAGTTGAGACAAACCCACCCTAAGGTTGTTGTTGTTTAAGCTTTTTAATGATTGTCCTTCTCCGGCTAATAAGATAATTTTAAAGGGGCGTTATTATGCGCTTTGGGTTTTCCTCCCTTTCCTGTAGTGTATTATATTGCATTTCAATGGTCTACAAAGAATACAATTCCAAAGTTCCCTCCACAGGGAGTTTCTCTCGCACATATGCCATAAGAGCATGAGATTGCATTCAATTCTACATGTACAGTATACATAAAGCGTGCATGTCATTTCCCATATTGCTTTGAACCATACAGTACAGTTTAAATGCGGAATGAGATGTTTCTAAAGCACTGTACACACTGCTCCCCGGAGGTGTGAATGCAGCTGAATCATTTGCTCATTTTAAAATAGATTTGGTTTGAATGCACTACTGTACTTCCCTTACGTAAAAAAGAAAAACGCTCTTCTGTTAAACCTCTCATCCTCTAGTAAGATGGATGTTTTCAAAAGGCCATAATTACAAACTACAGTTAGCCATCGTATTACTCTGATGGTTCTGCGGTTGTATTTATTTTCTGAAGTAGACGTCATTAGCATGGTTTCTGCTCCGAGGCCAAACCAGGCTTTCTGTGGCTTTCCTCAGCTGCTTCTCCTCACAGTTGGGATGTATTTATTCTGTGAGTGGCTTTGATTAGAGCCAATCACGCCAGAACAGTATAAGTGGTTTTATATAAAGCTGGTTGCCGAAACCCTCTTCTCAAAGCAGTTTGATCGTGGCTGCTGCTCTTGTGTCTTTACAAGAAATGTCAGTTTACAGAAAATATGACGATAATGCTCTCCTCCATAGAAGTTAGGCGCTAATCTTTATGACGAATGCAGCTGCATTTCCTGTAGCTGCCTCTCAATACAAGCTGTTTGTGGTTTACCAGTGGAAAGCTTTTAATATGAGGCAGCAGCCACACAACACACTTCAGCTCTAACAAGCATGGAACCTACTTTTGATTTCTCATCAAGCATTTGGCTTTTTGTTGCACTTTTTGAATGAAATGAAAAAAGTGCAACAACAATGTACTCAAAGTTCTTACACTTAAAGTTAAAGAAAAAAATGCGCAAGAAGGGCATAACATAAATACAATAAAGATATTTATAAAAACTTCAGAAGTTAAATGTCTAAAAGAAAATAGAATAATTCTATTTTTCTAAACAGAAGAAGTTAAAGTCAAATGTCAATTAAAAGATAAATAGTATAAAATAGAATAAAACGATTTAAATAATATAAGAAATGAAAGCAACATTGTGCAATTAAATGAAACAATAGAATACAAATATTTAATTAACACAAGAAGTTAAAGTCAAATGTCAAATAAAAAAATTAAAATAGAACATGAGGATTTAGAGTAACAATTTGCAATAAAAAGATAAAAAAAAAAACATTCAATATATTTATATAAACATAAGAAGATAAAGAAAAATGACCAGTAAAAGAAAAAATAGAATACAAATATTTATAAAATCACAAGTTAAAGTGAAAATGTGCATATTGCACTATAGTATATTACAATATATAACACATACTATTATATGATAAGTTTCCCTTCATTTTGGATTGTTCCTACAATGCATGTGCAGCATGATCAGATTGTGCATGCTGACTTCCACCACACAAGATCATATTGGTAAAACAAGCCATATAACCAATCCAGTGTCACTGAACTTCAGTCAATATATTAGTCCAAGCCACTCCATATCAGCTTCTTTGTAAAATATGTGTTATTCTTACATCTTTCCGACATTTTTTCAAATGATGTACAACTGTCATCTAGTTTGTTTTATTTCTCTGGTGGGTGCAACACTGTAACTGCTTTATTTTGTCTGTATTATGCCCCACATCTCTGCCTTGATCCATAACTCCTTTCTGTGGTTTCCATGGCGATAAAAAAGCAGCTGCGACAACCTCGCTCCCTCTGTCTGTTGTCCCCTGCTATTGTTAATCCCTTTATTCTTTCTTTCCCCCCCCCCTCTCTCCTCCATTTCAGCCAGGTGTGTCTCCTCAGCTACCTCCTAGCCTTATTCTTCTCACCTTTCCCACCACTGTCGAGGTAGCCATGGCGACCAGTGCACTGCCAAGTGACAACCTGCCAACGTACAAGCTGGTGGTGGTGGGGGATGGTGGTGTCGGGAAGAGTGCTCTGACCATCCAGTTTTTCCAGAAGATCTTTGTGCCGGACTACGATCCCACGATAGAGGACTCGTATCTGAAACACACAGAGATAGACGGGCAGTGGGCCATACTGGATGGTGAGTGGAGCAGCGTGTCAAGGGGACATTCATTTTGAAAGTGGAGAACAGTCCTGCCTCTGTTTTTTACAACATTAAATATGCCAATAAACAGCCCACTGGTGAATGTGTGAAGCTGGTAGAGATAGGCGGACAGTGGATCACTCTGGAAGGCGTAGTAGAAAGAGAAAATAACATCAGCTGCTGGGAATTATAGTACTAATAGAAACAATCCGTTTTTAAACAGGTCACATTCACAAAACTGCACACTGTTCTTGTTTAATGAATACTGCAAACTGGATCAGTTGCATTAGAAAATAAATGTACCAATGCTTTTGTTTGAAGGTTTTGGCATTTTGTATGGGTTCCATTCATTGAGTTAAAACAGACATTTGGGTTTTTAACAAAGAACAAAAAAATGAAACAGCAAATGGGATGGCCGGAGCCATGGTATAGGAAAAGCAGACCACATAGTATACTACATGCTCATACAAGACATAAAGTACAGTATGCTCAAAGCTATAAATCCTCTGTTTGGATTTTGAATGAAGAGGGCTGTAAAAGAGAAACCCTTTCATGTAAAGTCATACATTTGTGTCCCTCCATCCTGGCAGTGCTGGACACAGCGGGCCAGGAAGAGTTCAGTGCAATGAGGGAGCAGTACATGAGGACAGGAGACGGATTCCTCATCGTCTTCTCTGTGACGGACAAGGCCAGCTTTGAACACGTCGACCGGTTCCATCAACTCATACTACGGGTCAAAGACAGGTAACAGCAGAAACCTCTTTTCTCCATGCACACAACCAATAAATATTAAGGTATGATTCTTATCGTGTATACAAAACTCCTTTTTATTGACTTTTATGTAAACTACTTATTTTTACTAATGCAGAAAATCAAAGAATACTGTGGGCCCTGAGGGCTCAACAAAATATCAAATAGACACAACATGAGAAAATAAAGAAATATCCTTAACAGTTTAACATAGCACGTGAAGCATTTAGAAAAAGCACTGCAAATAGAGAAGCTCACAACAGAACATTACTGTTTCCAGGGGATATTAAAAACTGATGCACACACCTGATCCACCCTGGTTGTTGCCATTGTTCTTGGCTTATGAAGTGATCACATTTTGCTAACCATCATTGTGACAACATGATTAAAATACTTGCATATACAGGACTGTCTCAGAAAATTAGAATATTGTGATAAAGTTCTTTATTTTCTGTAATGCAATTAAAAAAACAAAAATGTCATACATTCTGGATTCATTACAAATCAACTGAAATATTGCAAGCCTTTTATTATTTTAATATTGCTGATTATGGCATACAGCTTAAGAAAACTCAAATATCCTATCTCTAAATATTAGAATATCATGAAAAAGTATACTAGTAGGGTGTTCAACGAATCACTTGAATCGTCTAATTAACTCGAAACACCTGCAAGGGTTTCCTGAGCCTTGAAAAACACTCAGCTTGGTTCAGTAAACTAAATCACAAGTATGGGGAAGACTGCTGATCTGACTGCTGTCCAGAGGACCGTCATTGACACCCTCCATCAGGAGGGTAAGACACAAAAAGAAATTTCTCAAAGAGCAAGCTGTTCACAGAGTGCAGTTTCAAAGCACATCCACAAAAAGTCTGTTGGAAGGGGGAAATGTGGCAGGAAACGCTGCACAACCAAGAGAGATGACCGCAGCCTTAACAGCATTGTGAAGAAGAGTCGCTTCCAGAATTTGGGAGCTTCAAAGACAGTGGACTGAAGCTGGAGTCCAGGTATCAAAAGTCACTGTTCACAGACGTGTCCGGGAAATGGGCTACAATAGCCGTATTCCCATGGTCAAGCCACTTCTGAACTCAAGACAACGGAAGAGGCGTCTGACTTGGGCTAAGGAATAGAAGCACTGGACAGTTGCACAGTGGTCCGAAGTCCTCTTTTCAGACGAAAGCAAGTTTTGTATTTCATTTGGAAGTCAAGGCGCCAGAGTCTGGAGAAAGGCTGGAGAGGAGCAAAATCCAAGTTGCTTGAAATCCAGTGTGAAGTTCCCACAGTCAGCGATGGTTTGGGGAGCCATGTCAGCTGCTGGTGTTGGTCCACTGTGTTTCATCAACTGAGACTGCCAAGGCACACAGGGTATAAGAGTATTTTAGAGCACTACATGCTTCCGTCTGCTGAAAAGCTCTATGGAGATGAGGAATTCATTTTCCAGCATGATCTGGCACCTGCCCACAGTGCCAAAACCACCAGTAACTGGTGTACTGACCATGGCATTACTGTCCTCGATTGGCCTGCAAATTCCCCTGACCTGAACCCCATAGAGAATATGTGGGGTATTGTGAAGAAGAAGCTGAAAGACACCAGACCCAACAATGCTAATGAGCTAAAGGCCGCTATTGAAGCATCCTGGGCATCCATAACACCTCAGCAATGCCACAGGCTGATTGCCTCCATGCCACGCCGCATTGATGCAGTAATCCGTGCAAAAGGATTCCCAACCAAGTACTGAGTGCATTAATGGACATTTTCAAATGTTTGATTGTGTTTTGCTGTTATAAATCTTTTTTTTTTACTTGGTCTGAGAAACTATTCTAATTTTTTGAGATAGGATTTTTGAGTTTTCTTAAGCTGTATGCCATAATCAGCAATATTAAAATAATAAAAGGCTTGCAATATTTCAGTTGATTTGTAATGAATCCAGAATGTATGACATTTTTGTTTTTTTAATTGCATTACAGAAAATAAAGAACTTTATCACAATATTCTAATTTTCTGAGACAGTCCTGTATATATAATATATACCGTAGGTTGGTTAAGATGTTTCTTCATTTACTTGCATTGTGTCTATTCAAGCTAGTTGTCTTTATTTGCAGTATGTTGAATTTAAAGGTTGATGGTACCTTGACATTTCTTATAGAGAACTCCAGCCCAAAGACATAAGGTGTGAACAAAACAGCTGCAAATGTTTCCACATGTAAGAAATGTGACATATCTGTCCAACCAGCCTCACATTTAGTTGTCTTTAAACTGTAAATAAACCTACAATGAAGTCCTTGTTTGATTACCCCAAAAATATTTCAAATTTTCTATGACATCTGCTTAGCATCCCCTGTTTCTTATGAAAATATAAAAACTATTTGAGTGGCTTTGTCTAAATAAAGTCTTTTTGGGAAAGTCAATCCTAGGACTTGTTGAATCTAAATAGTTTTTGGGAAGTTTATCTACCCTAATCATTTAGACGTAAAAATGAAAGACAATGCACCCAGAAGTTCAAAACAACCAGTCCATTGAAAATCTGTTTTGTAAATAAGGTAAGCTACCATACCCGGAACACAGAATTACAAAAAAAAAGGAAGTTGCTCTGTCAGATGATTTTTCTTACTTGAGATAGAACAAAAATAGAAACGGGAACTAAGCTAGTTGCTGTGTGTCCAAATTTAGAGTTCCTCTCTAGCTTATTTTTCCACAAGATGTAAGTATTGCAGGAATCTGACATCTCTCAAACAATTTGCAAAGCCTGTGATCTTTCTATTCAAAATGTAGACATATCAACATTGGCCTAAGACCATGAGACACTCTGCAATTGCTTCTGAAATGATTGAATGTAGTTATAAAGGGATACCTGACTTTGTGTGTGTGTGTTCTTTTGCTTTCAGGGAAGCATTCCCCATGGTGCTTGTGGCAAACAAAGTTGACTTGGTCCATCTGAGAAAGATCACCAACGACCAGGGCCAAGAGATGGCTGCCAAACACAACGTAAGCAGTGAATTTGTTTCAGCCTTTTTGCCCTAAAGTCCACATGTAAGGATTTCTGCTCTCACATGTGTGTCCTTGTATGTGAAGGATTTAAATCACAGTCAAACTGAAATCAACATCAAAAGGTTAATGTTGTTTCCACAGCTGCACAGTAGACCATTCTTGAACCAAACAAAAACAAGATCTAAAGAAACTATTTCTAAATGAAGCCGTCTCTGTGTAAACAACAATTTGGTTCATATTATCGTATTCCTGCCATTTTAGTAGAGAGCTCTATCCACACTGAAACACCTGAACATCATGTCATGTGCTTCTTCTTGGCCCTCTTGATTTTGCATAAAAAATAATTGGCCCATCTCAGCCAACATCAGCTGACCAGATCATCCAATCTAACATTATAACAGTTGTACTGTTCATTGATCGCCTATATCAGCGCCTAAAATGCGTGGTGGTCACATAGTTAAAAACGACAGAAAGTTGTCTTTTCTACAGACACATCAGTTGCTCTGCTGAGTGTCATCCTGTTACACATCCATCCAATGTCCTCCTGAACTCTGGGAGGACTTATACTGTGTTTAACCAGCAGTTTTAATCACATCCTAACTGTAAATGTGTGACGTGGAGTGACAAAAACAGCATGAATCCAGGTGAAAAGCTCAGCTCTGAAGGCAATTTAAATAAAGAATCAAAGTTATTATTCATCATCATCATCAGCTTTATTGAAGAGACTCTAGGTCAATTTTTTAAAAGACATCCAACACTCAAATATAAATAAAAAAAGGCAGTTATACCAATGTTTCCACAGAGGTGACTGGTATCGTACAGTACTGAGACACGGACTTGAGAGCAGCATAATGACAGAATGATGAGAAACATTCAATCGACAGACGAATTTGTTCATCAGATTCCTCCAGACAGCATGGAACGTGTTGACTCGTGCGTTACAAAACATTTCACTTGCACTAGACAAGTGATTTCAAAGGCTGTCTTATCGAAACAGACACAGCACCCTCAATGTGCTTATGTCATGTTTTTGCTAAATCTCTGTGTATCCCTTACGCACTGAAACACCAAAATGACTTTTAAAATTGACACTTAAAATGTCTGGAATGCCTATGGGACCATGATATTGTTATTCCATCCCATCTTCACTGAACAATTCTGCCAGGATAGCCTGATATTGCTGTTTGACCTAATGTCAGACTACATTAAAACAAGTTAGTTTCATTCATTAGCCCTTTCTCAGACTTTGTGAACCTGGTCTGACAGAGGGCTGAAAGTGAGAAAAAGAGGTGTTACAATTTGTCTTGATTCTGACGTACTCTCAGTAAACGCACCACCACCATTAAAAGAGACAGAAGCAGGCAAAAATAACTTTAGAATAAAGCCACAAGCTGTGATACTATCATGTGCACAAAGGATCCCATACAGCATTCACACATTTAACTCACATACAGTATTCTGTAATTCCAGGGATTTGACATCTTGGGGCTTTTCAAAGTCACACTTTCTCTCTTGAAATCAAAGGCCTCTTTTCAAACTTTTTATGTTTTGAAGTGATCATATGCAGCGAATCAGTGAAAACACTTGGGGCTGTTTCCAAACTGACTATCATCTGCCAGGTCAATCAGTACGGTGATTAGCCTGTGATGTTTTTCAAAGGCTGAGGCATCTTTCAATTGTAGCCCTTATGTTCCTTTGCCAAATCATATAATGTCTCCCTCTACTTTATATTCATGTAGGTCAACTTCATTCATAGCCCAACCTTATTGATTCTGTTAAAGCTGGTATTTCTACAGCGTTACAGATATGGACTTGGCTTCACCAAGAGCTTCTAGTGATGGCTGCGTAAGACTGTTTCCAATTGATGTGACCTTTATATTTCCCAAAAATAACTTTTAAGTACAAAATAATTGCCCTATTTATCTCAATAAATATCCCACTTTAAGCCTAAAGTAAAACATGTTCAATGCGGTAAAAGAACTCCAGTTTGCCACACACCCTTTAATAAACATGTACTCTATAAATAACATTTACAGTACATGACGACCACTATTAAACAATACTTTTTTTTCATTTTAAGTATGATGACATAAATAAATATGACAACAGACATCTAAAACTTCTGTAGAAGTGTTACAAAAATACATTTAGTAGAGTAGTAAATCCATATTTCAGTGATACCACCCAAATGGCCCTTAGGATTGAATTTGTCAGGGTTTAGAGCTGAGCAGGGAGGACGCCAAAGTGACTATCAATAAAATCCTTTATTGCAGGTTGTCCAGGAAATAAAAGAGCTGGGCAAAGCAAGGCAAAGAGAAAGGGAAAAGAAACAGAACTCTCTTTTCAACATCAAACATCAAGAATCTGACTACAACTGAAAGAAACCCAGAACTTAAATACATGCAAGACTAATGACAAGGACAAGCCACAGGTGGGGAGGAAAGAAAAACACAGGGGAACTCAATCAGGTAATCAAACTGGAGGGAAATCACAGAAACAGGAAGTCAAAACAGACCTAACACAGGGGGTGAACACTTTTCAAAATAAAGCAGGAAAACGCAGACAGATTGTGACATTAAGAATAAAACGTATATTGAGATATATTTGAGATATTTCTGCTTTCTTTCCTCCAGATAACTTATATTGAAACCAGTGCCAAGGATCCTCCAATGAATGTGGACAAAGCCTTTCATGAGCTGGTCCGTGTTATAAGGTAACTTCATTCACTTTCCGTTATTCTCTATTCTCTAATAAGGACCCTTAAAACAGCTTGAGAACACTAGTGATTGGCCATTAAGACTCACCCTTTGTCCCCAGTGTGCATTTCCCTTCTTTAGAGATTTGTGGATGTCTTTATTAGATTTGTGTGGAAAAGTAAAAGTCCTGTTGGTATTTCCTGTGTGACACACATTTATCTTCAGAATAATTCGATTTGTGTCCATGTTTTCAATGTGGTCATATCCTGTGCAAATGCCTATTCTTGTTGCGAAGGGTTTTGTCATGTTTAAGAGCCCGGATACACACGCTGTATTTCACTTTTGAGAGTCCTGATTGTCCTCATGGCAGCTGTTTTGGCACATTATGGTTTAATGATGGATAAACATTGCCCTCTAGTGGTCAGACTGTAGAAAGTCAGTGATACAGTGGTAGGATAAAGGGAAAAAATGCAGAGCAGATCAGGCAGAAAGTGTTTCCATCCTCTATGTAACCTCAATAGGCTGTGTAAGAGCCATTTAGGCACATTATTTTATGGTAATGAATTACGCTTTTATGAGCGAATTGAATATTCTTTAATTTAACTTAAATGAGCAGAAATACTGTGAATTATTATTATACTGTTTTGTAACGTGTTATCTTGCTTATGGACAGCTCTAGTTTATGTTTTGTTATTTGTAGAAAGCAATCGTAGGGGCGTGCTCGGGTATAAATGACGCTGCCAGCATGACACAGCAGGAAGTCTAGAGAGCCAAGTTGGGAAAAGTTTTTGACCGTACAAATCCGTAAGACCGAGGGATCTTGTTTGTTTGTTTTTGTTTTAAATACTGTGCAAATGTTGCACGTCGGCAGTGGGCCGCCAGCTCATGTTGAACCTCTAAATAAAGCACCTGAATGGAACAAGCAAGTATCTACTTTTTTGAATATACGCGAGTCAATACTCGAACTCACCTCCTAGACTAAGTGGCCTTTGAACATTGATTTTCTTTTGGACAATTGGCCACTACAGGCTGCTTTGAACCCCCCACCCTATAAAATGTTAATGTGAAAACCCAAAGAGGTGACTCATAGTATTGATTGGCTCTTGGTTTAGGATGACTCATTCACAGCCCCAATCATAATCTGAGCTGGATAGTGCAAATCACTGTCGCAGCAAAAACATGCTGTTAAAACGGAAAAATTATGCTTATGAATTTAAGGAAAAATATATTAAAGAGTTTAATGAAAACATATAACCCACTCTCAGTATGAATCTATCTTTATTGTCTAACTATCAGGAGTCAAATAAGCACATTTCCTTCAAGCTGCATCTTTTAGGTGACAGATGAGGTATAATTAGGATTTTGGTAATTGTTTTTATTATTAGTCAAGTCATTTCTTAAGCAAAAAGGTCAGACAATGCCTCTCAAATATGGAAATGTATTAATATCATTTTAAAGTTAATATCTTTGGGTTCTGGACTCACGAAACAAGTCACTGAACTTTGTAAAACTCTTTTTCGACTCATCTAGAAGATATTTGTCGGATTTATCTTTAGCTACAGCCCTTATTTGTGTTAAATGATTCCTTTGTTACTGGCTTCCACCTCAACTTATAACCAATAAGTTCAATGAGCACCCTTAATTATCATGATTAACTTTTTTGTATCTAATGTTAATGTTTTTCCTATTTGTAAAGCACTTTGATTTTCCTTGTGTTGAAAGGTGCTTTATAAATAAACTTCCCTTGCCTATTTTAAAACTATGATTAGATGACTGCATCGTAAGGTGAACCAAATCCCGAGTTTAGATGATTTGTAACACCTTTTCTTGTATGTCTTCTCTTTGTCCACAGACAACAGGTGCCCGAGCGAAACCAGAAGAAGAAAAAGAAGATGAAATGGAGAGCAGAGCGTTCAGCGGGTACCCACAGGTTCCACTGCGCCATATTGTGACCTCCCTCATCCTGTTTACCATTCGTAACACCCACACACACATCCACACGCACGCCCACGTACCTTTGGATGTCAGGGAACTCCCCAGCAGTGGTTAACTACTGGAGCACAAAAGGGAGGGGGATGCCTGGAAGGAGGAGTGAATCTCAAAATGTGGGACTCTTCACAAAGCCTTTGAATGAGTGCTGTACCCTCTCTCCTCAATTTATGGTTCCTTTTTTAAGGTCTATAAATCCCTCCCCTCCTCTATTCCACACAGAACAGTTTCACAATGAGGTGTCATTTATTTTTTCATTTCAAATGAGCCACTAGATGAAGGAATCTGGGGGGAAATGATATTGGAACTTTTGTCTTCTTGAAAAAGGACGAAATAGGGAGGACCCGGCTCATTTGCGCCTCGTTCTTTTTTTAAGAAGTAACTCCTGACAAATGGTTCCCACCTTTTAAATCCTCACACTCCTACGATATCTGGAAGAAAAGCACCTGTGTGATTTTTAGATATGTTATCATAAGGGCATAGTGGAAGAACATGAGTGCTGTTGGTCAATTTTAGGGAGTCACTAGGCGGTGTCGGCTGGCAAACAGTGAGTGTGGCGGGACACTTTGCCGTCATGCGATGCTCTGGTTTGGGGAATGTCAGTTCAGAGAGGGACGGAAGGATGTGTCGAAGCAAGCGAAAGAAGGGGACGTGATTAGATAACGTGTTTCATATCGGTCCACAGGTGAGCTCTGTGGTCATATAAGCGCGTGGAATAAGTGTTTAAATATTGTAATTGTAAAGGAGAGTGAGATGGGTTAATGTGGTTACAATATAACGTCAACATAACAGGGTTTATACCAACACTGATGTATCAGCGGCCATGTTTACAGACTTTATTAATGGATTATTTCCTCAGCATAAAAACACACACAATATATCAGAGCCATTTTTAAGTGTTTGAAATAATTATTTAGGTTGCCTCTTCAGCCATCAGCAATGGCACGAGTGCAGTCTTTATCAGTACTGTACGGACAATATCCCTATTTGTCTCTTTTTTTAAAGTCTTAAAACAAGTTACTTTCCATGTTTTTGTATCAAATAATATAGAAAAAATACAGTTATATTTGTGATATTAAAACATATAATCATACGTGGCAATGTAAACAAATTCAATGCTGTTTTACAAAGAGATCTGTAGGCGAAGATTAACAAAATATAATAGAAAAGGGATAAAGTGAGTGGCGTGTTTCAGATCTGAAGCCGGCTGGAGAAGCTGATTTGCACTGGCCACTAACCAAAATAATGTGATGTCACTTTATTTCAATCTAGGGGGCTTTTTTCAGACCGCACCGCTGAATTCAGGACAATGAATCATGCTCAGCAAAGGAGAACACTCCTTTTGGATACATTCATACTGTAGCCCTGGGAATACATCAGGCTGTGTGTGAGGCTCCGGGGGCTTAAAGCCATTAAAACCTAGCTAATTGTAGGAGAAGACACACTCTCCAAGCAACAAGACATTGAGTATATCCATGTCTGTCGTCGTGAGGTGGATAGAAATGTACAATTGAATAACCTATGAAATGGCTTGTACTGTTAACGCACTAAAAGTTTCGGTGGACAACTTTTTTCTGTCTGGATGAATACCGTCTCTTTGAGGAAATACATTTTTGCACTTTTAATACAATTTCAGACTTTCCTATTTGCATGTTGTTTTTTCTGTTCAAAAACCTGTAAGTGAAATGAAAGGCACAGTAAAAAAAACAACAAAAAAAAATATTTGAATGTAAAATGGAATAACAAAACAAGCAAATAGGCCATTAGTGTTGTAGCGCTGTGTGCCTGTGTGTATGCCTTTGTGTTGATTGTGACAGGTTAAATCCATCGGGATTTAATCATTGGAAAGATATTGAAGGAAACGTTTGTTACTTTGAAAATAAGGAGAGAGTATGAAAAAAACTCAGTTATTGAATGGAATAGAAATTCACCTCAGCATGAAAGTGGAAAATCAACCTCAGCAAAAGAAGGACATCAGTATAAATCAACATCTACTGTTAAAGGGACTCCGAAGACTTTCAAGTGTCGAACATTGAGCAATGAAGCAACAGACTCTGGATTGTGGGGGAGGGAAAAAACAAAAAAAAACTGAATGTGTTTGATGAAAAATGTTGCATCATGTATGTTTGATACCATTTTGTATTATTGATATGAATTATTGATATGATTCTTGCAAAGTGTTTTTTAAACAACTGAATAATTTATTACTGTCTGTTACCTCAGCGTGTCCCAGACCTGGACAGAAAGCTAAACTCACCCTTTCACCCCTTTTTTTGTTTTCTTTGGGGCTCTCAATGGGTCGTAGGCCTTTTGACCTTTGAGCCCCCATATGAAGAGACTTGTAATGTGTCGTGGACCAATAAAGATGAAGGAACCCCGTTTGGTCCTGGAAAAACAAAAGGACTTCTTCTTTACTGGAGCTCATGTGGATGGTCTCGCAAGATAAAATGTTATCACACAAGCGTCAAAACATGGAAAGTTTGTCAAACAATTTGTAACTTTAAATGTGTATTTTTTAAATGTGAAGTTTCTTGAAGGTGCAGATTTACATTTTGGGAATCACCCTTATTGACTTTCTTGCTGAAATACATTACATTTTAAGATACAGCCTGCAGTTGTTAGCTTCGCTTAGCCTAACTGGAACGAGATGGAAAAAGCTTATCTTGCTCCTTCTTAAAGTAAGAAAATCAGCCAACCAACACTTCCTGAGATCAGTGAGTGTGTTACTTTTAGTTTGTTATATCTACAAGTCGTGGATTTCTTTCATTTTAGGCTAGCTGTTTTAAGTTTTTCTGCTAAGAGCTAAGCTATGCTAACTGTCATGCGGGCTAACTTCTTGTTTAGTGTACAGAGTAGACACGAGCAGTAGCTATCTTCTCGTCTAATTGTCAGCAGAAAAGTTAATAAAGGATTTCCAACAATGTCGCACAGTTCCTTGAAGCGGACTGGACTTGTTGTAGGCTAATTTAACTTTTTGTCTCAGTTCTAGGCTAATTTAACTTTTAATTTTGAGGTCCAAAATACAGTGCAGAATGTGAAAGTTACTTTTCTTGAATGAATCATTGTGGCTGGTACAAAGAAACCTGCTGATTACTTCACATTTCAGGCAGACCAAATAAAAAATGCTGAAAGTGAATATAGCATCCTATTAATTATTCGACCCCTGGATTATACAGTGGGGCAAAAAAGTATTTAGTCAGCCACCAATTGTGCAAGTTCTCCCACTTAAAAAGATGAGAGGCCTGTAATTTTCATCCTAGGTATACCTCAACTATGAGAGACAGAATGAGAAAAAAAAATCCAGAAAATCACATGCAGATCTCCTCTAGAGCAGTGATGTTTTGGGGCTGTCGCTGGGCAACACGGACTTTCAACTCCCTCCAAAGATTTTCTATGGGGTTGAGATCTGGAGACTGGCTAGGCCACTCCAGGACCTTGAAATGCTTCTTACGAAGCCACTCCTTCGTTGCCCGGGCAGTGTGTTTGGGATCATTGTCATGCTGAAAGACCCAGCCACGTTTCATCTTCAATGCCCTTGCTGATGGAAGGAGGTTGTCACTCAAAATCTCACGATACATGGCCCCATTCATTCTTTCCTTTACACGGATCAGTCGTCCTGGTCCCTTTGCAGAAAAACAGCCCCAAAGCATGATGTTTCCACCCCCATGTTTCACAGTAGGTATGGTGTTCTTTGGATGCAAGTCAGCATTCTTTCTCCTCCAAACACGTCTAGTGGAGTTTTTACCAAAAAGTTCTATTTTGGTTTCATCTGACCATATGACATTCTCCCAATCCTCTTCTGGATCATCTAAATGCTCTCTAGCAAACTTCAGACGGGCCTGGACATGTACTGGCTTAAGCAGGGGTGTGTCTGGCACTGCAGGATTTGAGTCCCTGGCGGCGTAGTGTGTTACTGATGGTAGCCTTTGTTACTTTGGTCCCAGCTCTCTGCAGGTCAATGACTAGGTCCCCCCGTGTGGTTCTGGGATTTTTGCTCACCGTTCTTGTGATCATTTTGACCCCACAGGGTGAGATCTTGCGTGGAGCCCTAGATCGAGGGAGATTATCAGTGGTCTTGTATGTCTTCCACTTTCTAATAATTGCTCCCACAGTTGATTTCTTCACACCAAGCTGCTTACCTATTGCAGATTCAGTCTTCCCAGCCTGGTGCAGGTCTACAATTTTGTTTCTGGTGTCCTTTGACAGCTCTTTGGTCTTGGCCATAGTGGAGTTTGGAGTGTGAATGTTTGAGGTTGTGGACAGGTGTCTTTTATACTGATAACGAGTTCAAACAGGTGCCATTCATACAGTTAACAAGTGGAGGACAGAGGAGGCTCTTAAAGAATAAGTTACAGGTCTGTGAGAGCCAGAAATCTTGTTTGTTTGTAGGTGATCAAATACTTATTATCCACCATAATTTGCAAATAAATTCTTTAAAAATCAGACAGTGATTTTCTGGATTTTTTTCTCATTCTGTCTCTCAGTTGAGGTATACCTAGGATGAAAATTATAGGCCTCTCTCATCTTTTTAAGTGGGAGAACTTCCACAATTGGTGGCTGACTAAATACTTTTTTGCCCGACTGTATGTGAGTTAAATTGAGCACATTTGTTTCATTAAATGGAGAGGTTGCATTTGTTTTCAAAAAAGACACCAAGTAGGCTATTGTTGGAGTTATGCAATTGATTTGATTCGTGTATGTCCTGGAACTTTGGCAGTATTTGGCAGTAAAGGCCTTGTTAGGTCTGGATAACAAAAAAACATGTAGGCTATGGTGTTACACCAGTTGTGTAATCTGTGTTTTTGGACAGGTCTGTTGTGTTCTAACTGGCTGTGTCAGACTGAGGAGCTAGACGAGGCACAAACAAACTGTGGCCTTTTTATCTAGCCTCAGGGGTCGATTATATTTCAATAAAGAAATACAAGTATTGTGACTTTGCATGCTGGTCTCTGTTTTATTAAAATGCCAAACAACGCTCTAACTGGCTGCTGAACACCCGTGAACTACAGCCTTGCTGAACACAGCCTCACATGTTACTGAGAGGAATCTTGCTTGTTCAGCCGAAGCTCACCTCATTAATCTTTAGTGTTGTCAGGGTACATTGATTCCAACACCCTGAGAAGGCTGAAAGCCACATTTTGCCTCATTGATTTAATCCCCCTGGGGGACATGAGGCAGGTAGGATTTTATTGATTTACATTCATGTTCTTTCAGTGAAATTGGTAAGGAGCGGTACTACCGAACATGAGACGAGACGGCGAGACGCAAGAAAGTGTTCAGACTTATAAAAAAAGTATGGATATCATTTTACTTGAGTGGGAAAACGTCTGACTGTATTAAGAGTTTCATATTTTATGAAAATCAGCTTAAAGATGTCCTTCACTTTCACTTTTGGTTGATAACGAACATTGCTTACACATTAGTATACTCAGCAATAGTGTGGCCAAGGTAGCATCACTAAAGATGCTAAGGGGCCAGCAGATTAAAACCAAAGTCCTTCTGAAAAACTGTGCATTTTCCATCATTAAAGGAACCAGGAAGTACACAAAAATGTAACACTTATTGCCCATACTGAACCTTAAAGTGTCTGTGCTACCTCTGAGTGCTATTCATGGATGTTACCACTAGGGGTCAGCCCTTTGCTGGTTACTTATCCTCTCTTGGACACACATGTTTGCACAACAAAGTAAGGTAAGGTACGTTTGATTATAAAGCACATGTCAGTTTTTAAAGTACTTTACACAAGCATTAACATATAAGACAATTTATAAAAGAGAGGGAAACTAAATTGAAAATACACTTTATTTTAAGGATTCAATATATTATAACATTTAAATGAACTCAGGAGAAACAATGGTAAATTAAAACTGCGGTCGCAGAAGTGCGCGCAGTGATGAGCGGGCCCTCGCATCCGTGCGCCTGTCGGGGAGGGCAGCCGGTCGTCCCGGCGTCAAGCAGAGGAAAGTCCGCGAGTCCTCGGAAATGAGCTGTTTGTCATTACTATCATTTTCGCGTCCCAGACTCCCAGGTCCTTCGGCAGCGACCCGGAAACGGATGTCGGCGCGCCGTCTCGAAGGAAAACAAATTTCTCTAAAGGGTCGTCGAGGATCGATTATCGAGGAGGCTGTCTGGAGGAGCCGTAACCGAGGATACACTGATTTAGAGGAGAGAGGAGTCTCTTTGGAGGAGCTATAACCGAGGGTCCACTGATGCAGAGGAGAGAGGAGTCTCTCTGGAGGAGCTATAACCGAGGGAACACTGATGTATCCTCCGTTTTCAGCCAACAGTGATGTTTAAAAGAGGCGTGACGCTTGGCTGGACTTATGTCAACGAAGCACAGCTCTGCAAACTGTTCCCGTTCTGATAAGTTATTTGAGATGATCAAATGTGCATCAGACTTTCTGCCCTTTGCTTACTCACTAATCACATCTCCCCTGGATGTTAGGCTATTTCTTTTTTTAATACAACTGCTTTCAATGTGATGTTTACTGTGAGAACAGCTGCTGAGGTCAGTGCAGAAAGCAGAAAAGTGTGTATAATATATATCGCTCAATAATAATGTAACAGGCCTACTGTCACGGTATGGGAAAGATTGGACCCAAATGCAGAATGAGGAGGGAAGCAGGTTTAAAAATGGAACAAAAGGCGAGCTTTAAATCACAAAAAGCTGAAAAAGCAAGAATCCAAGAAAAGGTACAAGGCAGCATCCAAAACAAAAAGGGACTGTGACCAACATGAAGGGAGACATGAACGACAAAAAATGAACCAACACTGAACACAGGAAGAGACAAGACTAAATACAGGGAGGGGTAATCACAAGACGAGAAAAACCGGGCAGGGGAGGTGAACACAATCAGACAATTAGACACACCAGGGAAACTAACGACAGGGAGGACAGAACAGCAAAATAACCCCAAAACTAGACACACAAAAACTCAAACCCTGACATAAACCCCCCCCCCTCAAGGGACGGATTCCAGACGTCCCTAGACGGATTCAAACATCTCAAACTGGGTGGGTGGAGGGGGTCCGGTGGACGGGTCTGGATCAACAGCCCAGGAAAGGCATAGTTCCTAGAGGGGTCTCGGGCGGACGGCCCGGGGGCAAGGCAGAGTCCATGGAGGGGGTCTCGGGCGGACGGCCCGGGGGCAAGGCAGAGTCCATGGAGGGG